CTGGCCAGGTATTTCTTTATAGCAATACAAGAACGGCCTAACACAGTGATGTTGAGTGTTTTTTCATGTGCTTGTTGGCTATTTGTCTGTCTTCTTTTGAGAAATGTCTACTAAAGTCTCTTGCCTATTTTTTAGTCGGGTTACTTTGTTGTCATTAAGTTCTTTACATATTCTGGATATTAACCCCTTGATAAATGTATAGTTTGTAAATATTTTCTTCCATTCTGTAGATTGTCTCTTCACTTTGTTAATTGTTTCCTTTGCTGTGCAAAAGCTTTTCAGTTTTATGTACTTTTGTGGTCCATTCAAAAATTCCTTGCTAAGCCCAGTGTTGTAAAGCATTTCCTGTATGTTTTCTTCTTGTAGTTTCATAGTTTCTGATTTTATATTTAAGCATTCAATCCATTTTGAGTAGATTTTTGTATATAGTGAGAGGTAGGGGTCCAGTCTCATTCTTCTGCATGTGGCTATTCAATTTTCTCAGCAGCATTTATTGAAGAGAGCTGTATGTGTTTGATATGGTTTGGATGTTTGTCCCTTCCAAATCTCATGTTGAAATGTGATTCCCAGTGTTGGAGATGGGACTTGTGGGAGGCGATTGGATCATGGGGGAAGATGGTTTGGCATCATCTCCTTGGTGTTAAGTGAGATCTGGTGGGTTTTCTTTCGCTGTCTCTTACAGGAAGGAGAAATCTGGCTTAAAATATTCTGGGAGCTCCCCCTTTTCTCTCTTGCTTATTCTCTCACCATGTGACATGCTGGAGTCCCTTTGCCTCTGCCATAATTGTAAGCTTCCTGAGACTCTCACATGAAGCAGATGCCAGCACCATGTTTTTGTACAGCCTGTATAACCATGAGCCCAAATAAATTCTCTTTTTTGAATTGCCCAGTCTCAGATATTTCCTTATAGCAATGCAAAAATGGACTAACAGTGTTCTTAGCACTTTTTTTTTTTGAAAATCAGATGGTTGCAGGTACATGAATTTATTTTAGGGCTCTATTCTGTTCCATTGTCTGTATACCTGTTTTTATATGAATACTATGCTGTTTTGATTACTATAGCCTTGTAGCATATTTTGAAGTCAGGTAGTGTGATGCCTCCAGCTTTTTTCTTTTTGCTTCATATTGCTTTGGCCTTTTGGGGACTTACATCATTCCATATGAATTTTAGGGTAGTTTTTTCCTATGTGAAGACTCTCATTGATATTTTTGTAGGGATTGCATTAAATCTGTAGATCACTTTGGGTAGTATGGCCATTTTAACAATATTCTTCCAATCCATGAACATGGGATAGCTTTTCATTTGTTTGTGTTTTCTTCAATTTCTTTCATCAATGATTTATAATTATTTATTTATTTATTTATTTACTTACTTACTTACTTATTTTGAGACAGAGTCTCACTCTGTTACCCAGGCTGGAGTGCAATGGCAGGATCTCAGCTCATTGCAACCTCTGCCACCCAGGTTCAGGTGATTCTCCTGCCTCACTCTCCCACGTAGCTGGGATTTCAGGCTTGCACCACCATGCCCAGCTAATATTGTATTTTTAGTAGAGATGGGGTTTCACCATGTTGTCCAGGCTGGTCTCGAACTACTGACCTCAGGCGATCTGCTTGCCTTGGCCTCCCAAAGCACTGGAATTACAGGCATGAGCCACCTCACCTGGCCAGTGTTTTATAGCTTTTAGTGTAGAGTCCTTTCGCCTCCTTGGTTAAGTTTATTCCTAAGTATCTTTTTTTTTTTTTAAATAGCAATTGTGAATGGAATTGTTTTTTGATTTTTTTTCAGGTGGTTTGCTATTAGCATATAGAAACACTACTGATTTTATTAAGTTGACTTTGTATCCTGTGACTTTACCGAATTCATTTTTTAGTTCTGTTTTTTAGTAGATTCCTTAGGGTTTTCTGTATGTAAGATCATGCCACCTGCAAACAGGGACAATATGAGGTCCTTCTGAAACTTTTTTTTCTCAACAATGTTTATGGGATGTATCCTTGTTGCTACTCCTAGCTCTACCTCAGGGTTTCTCAGTCTCAGTGCTATTGACATTTGGGGCCAGATAATTCTGTTGTGAGGGGCTTTCTTGTCCATTACAGGGTAATTGGCAATATCCATGGTCTCTATCCACTAGATGCCAGTAGTAATCCGTTGCTGTACTCTGAGTTGTGACAACCATAAGTATCTCCAGACATTGTGAAATGTCCTGTTGGTAGTGACATCACCCCTTCTCTCAGTGAGAATTGCAATTGTAGTTCATTCATTTTAACTTCTATATCATGTTTCATTATAAATATACCACAACCAATTTTTTAATTTTCTTGTTGATGGACATCTAGATTATTTCCAAAGTTTTAACTATTAGCAACACTATTGCAATGACCATTTTTGTTCTTCTTTCCTTGTGTACATGTGTGAGACTCTGTCTATGGTAGTATGCTTAGGAGAGAAAATGTTGAGTTTTAGTATATGCATTTTCAGCTATCAGAAGGCAGTCTCCATAATTGTACTAATTTACACTCTAACCAATGGAGCAAGAGAGATCCTGTTTCTCCACATTCTCACCAACACTTGGTATTGTCAGATTTTGAGATTTTTATCTACCTGGTGGAGGTGCATTATATTCATTGTGGTTTTAATTTGAATTTCCTTGATTACCACAAGGATCACAAATTATGCAGATAGAGTTGTATCCAAAAAAGAATTAAGGCTGGGCACGGTGGCTCACACCTGTAACCTCTACACTTTGGGAAGCTGAGGTGGGTGGATCACTTGAGGTCAGGAGTTCGAGACCAGCCTGGCCAACATGGTGAAACCCCATGTCTACTAAAAATACAAAAATTAGCCGGGCATGGTAGCATGTGCTTTTAGTCCCAGCTACTCAGGAGGCTGAGGCAGGAGAATCACTTGAACCTGGGAGGTGGAGGTTGCAGTGAGCTGAGATTGTGTCACTGCATTCCAGGCTGGGCAATAGAGTGAGACTCCATCTCAAGAAAACAAAACAAAACAAAACAAATCAAATTAAAAAATTAAATCTTACTGCACGATAATTTATTGAGAATACAGGAGCCTTTCCCAAATTATAAGTACTAATTATTTTAGGGAAATTTTAGAATGATGTTTGAGTTTCTGTGACCAGCTTTAGGAAGTATTTTTGACCAACAGAATGGGAAAAAATTTTTGCAATCTACCCATCTGACAAAGGGCTAATAACCAGAATCTACAAAGAACTTAAACAAATTTAGAATAAAAAAACAAACAACCCCATCAAAAAGTGGGCAAAAGATTTGAACAGACACTTCTCAAAAGAAAACAAACATACAGCCAATAAACGTGAAAAAAAGCTTATCATCACTGGTCATTAGAGAAATGCAAATCAAAACCACATTGAGATACCATCTCATGCCAGTTAGAATGGCAATCATTAAAAAATCAGGAGACAACGTATGCTAGAGAGGATGTGGAGAAATAGGAACTATTTTTTTACACTGTTGGTGGGAGTGTAAATTAGTTCAACCATTGTGGAAGACAGTGTGGCAATTCCTCAAGGATCTAGAAATAGAAATACCATTTGGCCCAGCAATCCCATTACTGGGTATATACCCAAAGGATTATAAAACATTCAATTATAAAGACACATACACATGTATGTTTATTGTGGCACTGTTTACAATAGCAAAGACTTGGGACCAACCCAGATGCCCATCAATGATAGACTGGATAAAGAAAATGTGGCACATATACACCAAGAAATACTATGCAGCCATAAAAAAGGATGCATTCATGTCCTTTGCAGTGACATAGATGAAGCTGGAAACCATAATTCTCAGTAAACTGACACAAGAACAGAAAGCCAAGCACCACATGTTCTCACTCATGAGTGGATGTTGAACAGTGAGAACACATGGACTCAGGGAGGGGAACATCACACACCGGGGCCTGTTGGGGGGTGGGAGGGCTAGGGGAGGGATAGCAACAGGTGGGGGATTGGGTAGAGATAACATTAGGAGAAATGCCTGATGTAGATGACAGGCATGGATGCAGCAAATCACCATGGTACGTGTATACCTGTGTAACAAACCTGCACGATTTGTACATGCACCCCAGAACTTAAAATATAATTTAAAAAAAAGTGGTTTTGAACAATCAGTCTTCATATGTGCCATGTTTTGTACTCAATTTCTGTAGTTTCTGTTTCCAAACCAGAGATGATCATCTAGTCATAATATTGTTCTTCCTCTTAGAAAATGATATTACTGACGGTGATTACCATCTGTGCTTAGGGAGTGGCTCAAAATACATTAATAACTTGAAATTATTTCTCTCAGTGTTGTTAGATGCTCTTGTTCTCAGAGTCACTCATCACTAATAGCTGCATGCCAAATTTGTCTCTTTGATACTGTGGTTTCCTGGAAGTCTACATTTTTTTCCGTACCATATGAAACTGTTTATGATCTTACTCTGTTTTCTGAGTCATTTTGCTAAATGCAATGGAATGTTACAAAAGATATTCCTGGTTTTGTACCTACCTTCAAGACATTTAAAATGAAAAAGATGGACATAACATATGTAACAAAGTCAATTAGAGTTGTGCGTACATGTAGTAGAGTAGTGAGAGTGAGATGGAATTCCTCAGATTTTGTGAGTACAGTCCAATTTAAGTAGAGTTTTGAAAAAAACAATGCAGGTGAATTATGAAAGCAGAAGGAAACGTATATTCAAAGTTGATATTACTTAAGATGTAGTGGGAAAAGTGGCTTTATTAATGTAATTTTTATTTGTGTTCACACATTGTGGACTCCTCAATACCTACTCCCTGGGTGAATTGTCCAGTGCCTCTCTGCCTAATTGGTCTCTATCAGTTCCTCAGTAAGCCTGAGAGATAGCCCAGTACTTTGGTCTGGAACATACCCCATAATAAAACTATATTTCAATCTTAAATTCTTAAACAGATAAACTAGCCTTCATCTACCAAAGGTGTTCTATTCTAAAAGTTTGTTGCCAATTCTGTTTGTTGAATTTGATGCTTTTCCCATAAAACAATGTGGTCAACTTTGGTGATCTTGCTAGATCAGCCCTCAAAAGCCCCATTTGACCCATAGCCAAGTGCTACAAGAAGAAGAAGGAAGAGTGTCCCTTTTTAGGCTCAGGATCATCCTTAGATAACATTTTGACAGGATCTGTTTGTTTTAGACATTCTTCTACTTCCATTTTTATTACCCTTGTATTGTTTCCCACTGACCCCTCCTGGGTCCCTAATACCTTCATGCTTGCCTTAGGTACTCCATCTTGGACTCTCCACCTGAACTCATCCTATTTGTCCTTTACTCCCAAATCTGCCTTTCCTGTCCAATCTGGGATTTTGTTCTCTTGTAGTAACATACCTTATGTAGATATTAAGAGATAAAATTCCAAGTATCAACCCCCTAATTATCAAAAAAGAGTTTATATTTTAAAAAGAAGATACACTGGATGTTAAGACAACTGACCTTCAAAAAGTCACTTCATGGGGGAAAAGAGATATTGAAGGAGCTATTCTAGATTAAATGAAATAAAAGAGACATAATAACCAAATGTCATATGTGAACCTTGTGAGAGTCTTGAATAGTTAAATTGGACTTCTTCAGACTAGAAAACTTATATACAAAAGGACACTATCAAGAGAATGGAGGCTTTGGGCAAAAGCAGCTGAAAGATGGTTTGGCTGCTCTGGTCAGATTCTTCCATCCCAGTGAGACTGGAAAATAGGGTCTGCAGGCAGGAACATAATAAAGCTGATTCACACTTCAGCTATGACAGGGAATATCCCTTCCATAGAGCATAGGCCAAGTAAATGACTTTGTAACTTTACTTCATCCTCCCCTTTTACTTAGAGTGTACTCTAAGTAGAGGGCATTTAAACTCATAACAACTCTGTAAGAGGGCCTTTTCAGCCCCTGTGCTCAGGCCCACTCCCACACTGTGGAGTGTACCTTCATTTCCAATAAATCCTTTCATTCCTTCCTTGCTTTGTGTGTTTCGTCCAGTTGTTTAAAATGCGAAGAACCTGGACACCCTCCACCGTTAACACCAGCCTTTCCCTGTGGCTGACCCTGAGGAGTTAGGAGTTTCTTCATAGCCCTTCTTCCTCTCTCTTCTCCCTCATCTTTAGACCCCTTTTCAGCATCTTCCCTGGGCATTGCTGTGAGTTTAGGCTGGCCAGTTTTAAGCAGGAGCAGTGGCCGAACAGTAGACCTGCTGGAAGAAGTGGAGTTGCAGATCTGAGACACAGCATTTTCATTAACCAAACTTCTTGAAGCCACATCTACAGTATCAGCTCAAGTGGAAGAGCTTGCCGTCAAATGTACGGAAAATGCACGTTTCCCAAAACATGACAGGACCTTTTGAAAGAAGGCTGTGATTCTTGGCAACCTGACAATTGATTTATATGCTTAGTTGTTTGATACTGACTGTGTAATAATTCATACTTCCTCATATGTGATCATTTCACATGTGCCACATATATAGGATAATTTCTAGCAGTTATCTATATCCTCAGAGTGAAATTTTACTTGGTTCTCTTGACTTTTGTAAAAGCAGAATACTGATGCTATTTTTGATGTTGAGCAGTACTTGTTTATTCTTACTTGCCGCCCTTCAAATTTTCTTATTTATGTATTTGTGTATTTATTTATTTATTTTTATTTTTTGAGACGGAGTGTCACTCTTGTTGTCCAGGCTGGAGTGCAATGGCATGATCTTGGCTCACTGCAACCTCTACCTCCTGGGTTCTAGCAATTATCCTGCCTCAGCCTCCCTAGTAGCTGGGATTACAGGCGCCTGCCACCACACCCAGCTAATTTTTTTTTGTATTTTTAGTAGAGATGGGGTTTCACTATGTTGGCCAGGTTGCTCTTGAACTCCTGACCTCAGGTGATCCACCTGCCTCAGCTTCCCAAAGTGCTGGGATTACAGGTGTGAGCCACCATGTCCGGCTGCCCTTCAAACTTTCATAGAATCCTTTATGAAATTTAATTTTATCAGTAGATAGTTAATATTAATTGTGCCACGGTGCTACCAGTAGCAAATTAGGTAGACCATTATTTGTTGTGCAACAAGATGCCAAGCATGGTAGAGTTTGAAGTTGAGCTTCATCTTATGGACCAAGGGAGGTAACTTTAAGGTTGCCAAAGGTAGTTCCAACTCCATTAAGCTAAGTTCTCTAGAGCAAATGGTTGTCTTATTTACTTCAATACTCCTGCACCTAAAACAGTGTCACACAGCACTCACTAAATGTTTATTGAATAAAAGAGGTGACTAACATAATAAAAAGGTATTTTTCTTCCTATATTTAGCATAAAGACTATAGTTGTGTCTCTAAAAAAATGTACGAATTGGGCCTTTGTTGACTTGAAGAAAAATGTTATCTTTTTCACAGAGATTTGAACTTTGATAATAGCTTTTAAAAATGTGATAAATATTTTTGTCCTCCTATGATTTTTTTTTAAAGTCTTTATTTCAGAAAATGAAAGACTGTCTAGAAAACAATTTTTTTTCCTATTACTATGATTACTGCTTTTACAGTTAAATTTTTTTGTTTTTGGTATTTTTATATGTTCGATTGATGTCTTCAAAGTGCCTTATCAGATTTATGGCTCTGTACTATGACTTTGGGAGCTTTACAAGTTATTTACATAATTCTAAGTTACTTTGCTTCCAATACATCAAATTTAAATAATGTGATTGTTTTTATATTATTTGACCTTAGTGACAATGTCCTATTTTGCTTGTTTTGTATCTTATGTTGCTTTTTGCTGGTTTGTGTTAATGTGTCAGTGATCAAGCCAACTAATTCTCTAGCATATGTAACTTCTGGATATCTTTGATATGACATCTTAATTTGTAGATATGGAGATGTGTATAGCATGATATTCTGAAGCTCCACAATGGTGCAATGAAAGGCCACGGACGGGCAAAGAGTAGTTTTGTTTAGCATATTAAGTCTAGTTAAATTTGAGCAAAGACTTGGAGACAAAGAAGTTAGCCAAGAAGTTATCTGGCAGAAGAAAGTCCCAAAGCAAGAGAATAGCTAAAACAAAGGCTTTGAGGTAGGAGTCATCCTTGCATAAGGAACAGTCAGGAGGCCAGTATGACTGGCACAGAGAGGGGTTTGGTGAGTGGTAGAAGAGGAGGCCAGGTAAATTTGTGGGGGACGGGCTTGACAAATCATGTTAGACCTTGTTGGCCATTATAAGGCTTTGGGGCATTTTTGGTTAGTTCTGAATTTCTACTTGCAAATGTTAAATGAGATTATTTATGGGAAACCTTAGTAATCAGGAAAGCACTCTATGAAGTCTAGTTACTTGTATTAAAGTATTGAAATTTTTATTTTTAGTTAGCGTAGCCAAAGAAACAACATTTTTTTTTTACTTCATCAAAGGTGATGAGAATTTTTTTTCTAAGCAAGAAGAATGTTTACCATACTTTATTACTAGCATATTCTAATTTTTTAAATATGATACTTGAGAAACTAGCATTTTTTAATTGGGGAGGTGGAGAAAGGTTGAGGAAAGATTATTTGCATGACTGAAATTAATGAGTTTATTGTTTCTAGCAGGAATGTAAAGAAGAAACAAAATGGATCCAAATATGAGTATGAATTCTGTTACCATTTCTGTTGAGGGTATGACTTGCAATTCCTGTGTTTGGACCATTGAGCAGCAGATTGGAAAAGTGAATGGTGTGCATCACATTAAAGTAAGTTACTTTTTGGAAACTGAAGTCAAATGCCATTGAAGAGAATTCTACTAGGAAATTACTTCTAACACTGAGATAGAAGCAGACACGCTGATACATTTGGGAACAAAAACCATTGTACTTATCTTGAAGCTAAATAAGTTTTCTTTGACCCATTAATTCCTCTTATAATATAAAGAAAAAAGATATATTTTCAATTTAAAAACACCTGAACATGGAATCTTGATATTGTGGTTGTATATTTATAGATTTATATTTTATAAGTATATGAGTATTTATATACTGTTTATTACTCTGAATCTCATACTAAGCTAAAATGCATGTTCTCAGATGATGAGTTGGGGTTTTCTTTTTCTTTTATAACATGGTGATTAATTTGCAATTAAAAATTGAAGGGAAAATGTCTAGAGAATTACTAGTATACTTTTGTTTTTATTTTTAATTTTTTTTCAGACAAGGTCTTGCTCTGTCACCCAGGCTGGAGTGCAGTGACAAAGTTACAGCTCACTGCAGCCTAGATTTCCCGGGCTCAAGCAATCATCCCATCTCAGCCTCCCAAGTACCTAGGACCACAGGCGTGCACCACCATGCCAGCTAATTTTTTAACTTATTTTTTGTAGAGATGGGGGGGTCTCACTATGTTGCCCAGGCTCCTTTCAAACTCCTGGACTCAAGCGATCCTCCCACCTGGGCCTCCCAGAGTGCTGGAATTATAGGTGTGAGCCACCATGCCCAGCCCAAATTACTAGTACACCTTATATGGTATACCTAAGGAAGACTCTATTATTATTATTATTTTTTCAGACTCTTGGGCTTTGAGTTGAAGACTCTATTGTTTAACATTCCTTGAGCATCAGCAGCATTCTAGATATACTGTGGTTAAAGATGTAGTTCAGATTATAAAAAAGCCTTCTGAAGACTGCATGAAGTACCTGTGTTTATCATAAGAAACTTCATGTGTATATAGCAGAGATTGGAAAATGATGGTCTGCAGGCCAAATCCAGTTTGTCAACTGCTTTCATATGGCTCATAAGCTAAGAATGCCTTTTATATTTTTACACGGTTGAAAAAATCAAAAGAATAATACTTGGGAACATATGAAAAGCATATGAAATTTAAATTTTTGTCTCTGTAAGTCAAGTTTTAGTAATGTAAAGTTTTATTAGAGCACAGCCACACTCATTCATTTATGTATTGTGTATGACCCTTTTTTTCACTACACAAACAGTTGAATAGTTGTGGCAGAGCCCATATGTGGTGTCCTCATTGGTAAGTGATATACTGCCAAATAATTTACCACAGTGGCATGACCATTTTATCTTCTCACCAGCAATGTTTGTGTTCCACTTTGAAATTGTTCCATTTTCTCCACATTCTCTGCAACACTTTGTATTGTCAGCCTTTTAAATTAAAGACATTCTAATGGTTATGTAATATTATGTCATTGGGTTTTTGTTTTCTTGTTATTGAATTTTGATTATATATCCTTAATATAAAGTCTTCTCTCAGATAGGTGTTTTACAAATACATTTTTCCAGTCTGTGGCTTGTTTTTTCAGTCTTTTAAAAGTTCTTTTGCAGAGCAGAAGTTTTTATTTTTGATGAATTCATTTATCCACTTTTTTCCTTTTATGCCTTATGCTTTTGGTATCATATCTAAGAAACCATGGCCTAACTCAAGGTCACAAAGATTTTTCTCCTGTGTCTTTTCTAAAACCTTTATAATTTTAGGTTTTACATTTAGGTCTATGAGCCATTTTGAATTAACTTGTATACATTGTTAGGTACCGGTTGAAGTTAATTTTTTTTCAGATATGGATGTCCATTTTTCCTAGCAGCATTTGTTAAAAAGTCTATTCTCACTCCATTGAATTGCCTTCGGACTTTTGCTGAAAATCAATTGACTATATATTTATATTGGTTTATTTCTCTCTGCCCTATTCTGTTCCATTGATCTATATGCCTGTCCTTTGGCCAATATCACACAGTTTTGATTATTGTAGCTTTATAGTAAGTATTAAAATCAGATACTGTGATTTCTTAACTCTTTCTTCTTTTTCAAAATTGTTTTGGCTATCCTAGTTGCTTTTCTTTTCCATATAAATTTTAGAATCAGTTTATAAGTTTCTACAAAAATATCTGCTGGGATTTTCATTGAGATTGTGTTGATTCTGCCGATCCATTTGGACAGAATTAACATCTTAACCATATTGAGTTTTCTAATCTATGCACATAGTATATCTCCATTTATGTAGGTATTCTCTGATTTCTTTTATCAGGGATCTGTAGTTTTCAGCATGCAGTTTCTGTATATATTTTGTTAGATTTATATTTAAGTATTTTTGTTTTTGAATGCTGTTATAAATGGTACTGTTTTAAAATTTTTAATTTCAGTTGTTCATTATGAGATTTTTGTATGTTTACTTTGTATCCTGGAATCTGGCTAAACTGACTTATCAAACCTGTTAGCTTTTTGGTAGATTTCTTGGGATTTTCTATGTAATTATGTCATCAAGGTATATAAATAGTTGTTGTTGTTTTTGTTGTTGAGATAGAGTCTTGCTCTGTGGCCCAGGCTGGAGTGCAGTGACACAGCGTTGGCTCACTGCAACCTCCACCTCCTGGGTTCAAGCAATTCTTGTGCCTCAGCCACCCAAGTAGCTGGAATTACAGGCGCACGCCACCACAGCTGGCTAAGTTTTGTATTTTTAGTAGAGGTGGGGTTTCACTGTGTTGGCAAGTCTGGTCTTGAACTCCTGGCCTCGAGTGATCTGTCCGCCTCGGCCTCTTAAAGTGCTAGGATTACAGGTTTGAGCTACTGCGCCTGGCCATATGGTTTTATTTCTTCCTTTGTAGTCTGTATATCTTTCATTTTTCCTTGTATTATTGAACCTTCATTACAATTTTGATTAGGAGTGGTGAGAGTGGACGATGGTGGGGGGAACATTCAGTCATTTACCATTAGCATTGTGTTAATTGTAGAATTTTTGTAGATGCTTTTTATCAGATTAATGAAGTTCTTTCTATTCCTAGTTTGCTGAGCATTTTTTTTTTAAACATCATGAATGGATGTTGAATTTTGTCAAGTGATTTTCCTGCATATAGAGATGATGGTATGATTTTCCCCCTTTAGTCTCTTAAGCTGGTGAATTACATTGATTGATTTTCAAATGTTGAACCAGCCACGCATTCCCAGGATAAGCCCCACTTGATCAAAGAAGACTTGCTTTTCATTAAAAATTTTTGGGTGGGCGCGGTGGCTCACACCTGTAATCCCAGCACTTTGGCAGGCCAAGGCAGGCAGATCATGAGGTCAGGAGTTAAAGACCAGCCGTCAATATGGTGAAACCCTGTCACTACTAAAAGTACAAAAAACAGCCAGGCGTGGTGGTGCATGCCCGTAGTCCCAGCTACTTGGGAGACTGAGACAGAAGAATCGCTTGGAACCCGGGAGGCAAAGGTTGCAGTGAGCCGAGATTACACCATTGCACTCTAGCCTGGGTGACAGAGCGAGACTCCATCTCAGAAAAAAAAAAATCAAGCATATACAAAGGTGGACAAACTAATAACAGTACAAGGATCCACCCTCTACCCATCACCCAGAAGAATCCTTGCTATTTAATTTGCATACCATTCTCATCAGTTGAATTTTATAATGTATTTTGCTGATGGTTCTAAGAGTTGGTCCAGGCCTTCCTGCTTGTTGTAATCTGTTAAGGTAGATGTCTCTGACTAGTGGATTGGAACTTCATAGTGTATCTCCACACCAGTTCCCATTTCTAAGCCTTTTGGCCACTCCCTGGCACCACCCCTGCCCACCCCTTTCTCTTGTCACTCTTCCCAATTCTCAGCACTAATTATAGTGGATATAATTTCAGTACTCTTTCCCATGCTTTATTCAGTTTGTTTTTGAACCTATTTTTTTCCCATCTTTCCAACTTGTATCTCAGGATCCAAAGAAATTAGCAATATCTCATGCCAAAACGTTGAGGATTCCTACTGCAGTGACAATAACATACAGAAGATTTTGCTTAAATATTATGCTTACTATTTTTTTTTTTGAGACAAGTCTCACTCTGTCGCTCAGACTGGAGTGCAGTGGTGCCATCTCTGCTCATTGCAACCTCAGCCTCCTGGGTTAAAGCAATTCTTGTGACTCAGCCTCCCAAGTAGCTGTGACTACAGGTGTACGTCACCATTCTAGGCTAATTTTTTGTATTTTTAGTAGAAACGGGGTTTCACCATGTTGGCCAGTCTGGCCTCAAACTCCGGACCTCACGTGATCCACCCACCTTGGCCTCCCACAGTGTTGGGATTACAGGCCTGAGCCGCCACACCTGGCCTGAATTGCTTACTCTTAAACATGTTTATTTTTGCTGCCAGGCCTTAATGAGTCAATATTGGATGTGTAATTTTAGCTGAGTTGTATTCTCATTTGTATAATATGCTTATCATTTTAATATGTTATTTTATCATGAAAACAACTTTTTTTTTTGAGATGCAGTTTCACTCTTGTTGCCCAGGCTGGAGTGCAATGGCGCGATCTTGGCTCACTGCAACCTCTGCCTCCCAGGTTCAAGTGATTCTCCTGCCTCAGCCTCCCGAGTAGCTGGGACTACAGGCATGTGCCACGGCACCTGGCTAATTTTGTATTTTTCGTAGAGATGGGGTTTCTCCATACTGGTCAGGCTGATCTTGAACTCCTGAGCTTAGGTGATCTGCCTGCCTCGGCCTGCCAAAGTGCTGGGATTACAGGTGTAAGCCACCGTGCCTGGCCTAAAACAACTTTATATTGGTAGTGATTCTATTTGCTGGAGGTTCTCTGTAAACTTGCTTTTATGCAATGTTCATTACAGTAATGGTAGAAATTTGATCAGCTTGCATCAATACCAGAATGGTTTTCCTATGACTAGTTGAGATGCACATGCAATACATTTTTTGACCTACCAGGAACAGATGTTAATATTATAATGAAAGCTTTGTCCAACTGGACATCAGAC